TGAATAATTACATTTAACAAAGTTGCTTCCTTTCCACTGTTTAAGTAGGACATTTCAGTTTTACCTAGAGTAATCAAAATCTCTGCCCTTAGAGTTATGGTTTTGTCGAGAAAAGGATTTCTGCCCTACAGGTACTTAACTAGTTGTTTTACAAAGAAGCTATTAAATACCTGGGTAAGAAATGTCAGGTAAATGACTGAATTTTTCTATTTTGGTATGACGCAAAAGCATAGAAAGAAATGTACTGCCTGGAATTGTGTTCACCTCTAACCTCTGCCCCAAGGAGGCCAGACTGAGGCCAGACTAAGCCACAAAGAGTTCCCAGACAGCCTGGACAATATAGTAAGACCCTGTCCACACAAGCAAGCAAGCACGCACGCACGCAAGCAGAAACCCATACCTATGATTATACTACTGTGCTTTCTCTAGATTTCTCTTTCCTCCCCTCCACACACAGTTTAAGCCATTAAGAGTGGAAAAGACAAAGTTTTCTTGAAAGTGCAAATGAATCACTTAATCCTCTGCAAATAATCCTTTTTCATTTAAAACAAAAACACACATTGCTAGAATTGGCCTAGAAGTGACGCAGGTCTATGTACCTGGTTGTCTTCCTTCGGGTGTCCCCTGAACGCCGCCCCGGCGCCCCGGCTGGCTGATGACCCATCTTGGGTTGGCTCAGAGCTTCTCAAGCCTGCCGGTGGGTGGATGCCCGCCTGACGGCCCGCTCTCCACTGGCATGGTGCTCTTCTCCTCTTCATACTTGTGACTATGTGAATGCTTATGTTTCCTAGGTCTCCATTTGCTCTATTGACATCAGTGGTAGGCTGGAGGCCTGGCCTGCTTACTGTGCCATGCATACCTGGTACACATGTAAGTCAAGCATCTGTATCTGTAGACCCACTGCAACAAAGGCTTCCTCTTTCTGGTCTAGTTCCCAACTGTTTTTTCCCAAATCCAACAAAGTTGCCAGCCTACAGCAGACTTCCATATATATGTTGAATGAGCGAACAAGCAGAGCTGGAATTTATTATATTTGGAGCTGGGTATTCAAACATAAGCTTGATGCCGCTATGATCACTTTTATCCCCAGATAAACACTTCATATAAAACATTAATATGTGAAAATATTTTGAACAGAGTAGTGTTTAGCTTGAAGAAATTCAGTGGTAAAGTGTCTTCAGTTCAGTGGATGGAGGAGGGGAATGAGCCTTAATTTACCGAGAAGAGGCTCGGTTCAGTCACCCACAAACCCTTATGCAAGCACAGGTCATGGGCTGAGCTTTTACTGCGTGGGAAAGCTTTCAGGATTCCTAGTATCCAGAACTAAAGTGCTAGCAGTTTTGGAATGAAAAAGCAACCGGGAATAGCCAGGTAGGGAAGGTCCTATCAGTGCCTTTCAAACTGCCGCTCCTGTGGATTAAAGGCAGCCCTGTGGCCCGGTGACAGTGACCTTCAGATCATCAGCAAAGAATAAAACCCAGTTTATACCACTTTCTGAAAGCTCTGGGAACTGGTCATGGTAGCACACAGAGGGAATTAGCCGTGTCTTCCAGTGTTCTTTTGTGAGTGTCGAAGTATAAGTTAAACTAGCAGGCATGTTACTACTTGGATAATACCTGCATGATCATACCTGTGTATACACCTGATTCATATATACGAGAAGACAGGATGGTGACTACTCGTTCCATAGAAGACGTCCCTGAATCGCTGGCTCAGCCACGACACCTACGACTTCCGGGTAAAGCCCCTACGCCTAGCCACGCGCATCCGGTGGCGCGTGAGTACGATCCTGGCTGCTCAGGAGGCTGAGGTCTGAGGATCACGGTTGGAGATGGAAAGCCCGGGCAGGCCGCTCCAAATAACGAGCAAGAAAAGCAGGCGCGGAGCGGTGGCTCGGGTGGCGGAGCGCCGCCGGCCCCGGCAGACGGCAGGGACGGCGCCGCGCGGGAGCGGTGGGCCGAGGGCCGCCGTGTGGTCCAGAAGCCTGTGCGGACCGGCCGCCGGGGGACCGGGGACCGGGCGCGCGGTGCGGTGCTGCGCCCCTGCTCAAGGCTGGCGCTCCGGGCTTGAACCCAGGGCCCGGTGCGGTGCTGCGCCCCTGCTCAAGGCTGGCGCTCCGGGCTTGAACCCAGGGCCCGGTGCGGTGCTGCGCCCCTGCTCAAGGCTGGCGCTCTGCCGCCTGAGCCACAGCTCCGTTGTTGGCTTGGGCTGGTGAAACAGAGGCGGGACTCGCGTGGACTTGCCGCTGGCTCGCCTCGGCGATCCTCGACTCAGCTCGGCGCCCCGGGGCCGGCAGGCTGCGGGGGGGGGGGGGGGGGGGGGGGGGGAAGGGGGAGGGGGCTGCGGTGTGCGCCCCCGGGCCGGGAGGCTGGGGGGGGGGGGGAGCCTGCGGTGTGCGCCCCGGGGCCGGGCGGGGGGGGGGCTGCGGTGTGCGCCCCGGGGCCGGGCAGGGGGGGGCTGCGGTGTGCGCCCCGGGGCCGGGCGGGGGGGGGGGCTGCGGTGTGCGCCCCGGGGCCGGGCGGGCGGGGGGGGGGGGGGCTGCGGTGTGCGCCCCGGGGCCGGGCGGGGGGGGGGGGCTGCGGTGTGCGCCCCGGGGCCGGGCGGGGGGGGGGGCTGCGGTGTGCGCCCCGGGGCCGGGCGGGGGGGGGGGGCTGCGGTGTGCGCCCCGGGGCCGGGAGGCGAGGGGGGGGGCTGCGGTGTGCGCCCCGGGCCCGGGAGGCGTGGAGGCGCGGGGTTTTCCAGCAGCAACGAGGCAGCCAGCTGCTCCCTCAGAGCGGCGGGCATGCACACATGCACACGCTCACGGGTACAGGCACGGGCTCAGGCACGCGCTCATGGGCGCGTGCACAGGCACGGGCGCAGACACAGGGCACGCACTCACGGGCGCACGCACAAGCACGGGCACGCGCTCACGGGTGCAGGTACGCGCTCAGGGGCACACACAGGGCACGCGCTCACGGGTGCAGGTACGCGCTCAGGGGCACACACAGGGCACGCGCTCACAGGTGCAGGTACGCGCTCACGGGCACACACAGGGCACGCGCTCATGGGCACAGGCACGCGCTCACGGGCGCCCGCACAGGCACAGGGCACGCGCTCATGGGGACAAGCACGCGCTCATGGGCTCACGCACAGGCATGCGCACGTGCTCGGGCAACGCTCACGGGCACATGCACATGTTCACGGGCACACGCACGTGCACGTGCAGACACATGCCCACGCTCACGGGCACACGTACAGACAGGCACATGCTCACGGGCACACGCACATGCACACGCTCACGGGTACAGGCACAGGCACACGCTCACAGGCAGACGCACATGCACACGCTCATGGGTACAGGCACATGCACACGCTCATGGGTACAGGCACGGGCACGGGCACACGCTCACAGGCACGGGCACACGCTCACAGGTACGGGCACACGCTCACAGGCACGGGCACGCGCACGCTCACGGGTACAGGCACGGGCACATGCTCACAGGCACGGGCACGCTCACGGGTACAGGCACGGGCGCACGCTCACAGGCACGGGCACGCTCACGGGCACAGGCACGGGCGCACGCTCACAGGCACGGGCGCACGCTCACAGGCACGCGCACGCTCACGGGTACAGGCACGGGCGCACGCTCACAGGCACGGGCACGCTCACGGGCACAGGCACGGGCGCACGCTCACAGGCACGGGCACGCTCACGGGTACAGGCACGGGCGCACGCTCACAGGCACGCGCACGCGGGCCCGGCCCAGGCCCAGGGCGCCGGCTGGCTTCCTCTGGGGCTGCCCAGGACGTCCTGGCCGCGTCCACACGTGGCGGGATGGGCGTCGGGCCGCTCGGGTCCGGGGTCGGCGGCTCCGGGCGAGCGGGCATCCCCGGGGCCGAGGGAGCGGGCATCCCCGGGGGAGCGGGCATCCCCATCCCCGGGGCTGGGCCGGGAACGCGGTCATCCCCAGGGGCGCGGCCATCCCTGGGAGAGCGGTCATCCCCATCCCCGGGGCCGGGAGCGCGGCCATCCCCATCCCCGGGGCCGGGGCGCGGCCATCCCCATCCCCGGGGCCGGGGGCGCGGCCATCCCCATCCCCGGGGCCGGGGCGCAGTCATCCCCATCCCCGGGGCCGGGAGCGCGGTCATCCCCATCCCCAGGACCGGGCCGGGGGCGCAGTCATCCCCATCCCCGTGGCCGGGCCGGGGGCGCGGCCATCCCCATCCCCGGGGCCGGGCCCGGGCGCCCCCCGCGGCCGCGCTGCGAGTCCGCGTTGCACGGGGCGGTCGTGCGGCCCGCGGGCGGGAGCCGCAGCCGCCGCGCCGCGGCCTCCAGGCCGGGTCCGGGCCGCTCTCGGAGCGCACCCGCGCGGGGCCGGGGGCCGCGGCGGCCGTCGAGTCTCCACCTTCACTCAGACGTCGTCCGGCGGCTCCCGGGAGCGGGGCCGAGGGCCCAGCGCCTCCCGCCACGCCCCCGCCACGCCCCGCGCACGCTCCGCGCGGCGGCCGGCGGGGGCGGGGCGCTGACGTCACGACGCCGGCGCGTCACGGCGCGGCCGGCCGGCGGGCGGCGGCGGCGGCGGCGGCGGCGGTGGCGCGCGGCGCGGGCGGCCGCGGCGGCAGCGGCGGCATTTCAGTCAGCGGCGGCTGCGGGCTGCGAGCTGCGGGCTCCCGGCTGCGAGCGCTCCTCCCGGCGTCCCCGGCGGCCCGCGCGGCCCAGCTCGGCCGAGGCGAGGGCGCGGCGACTCGGTCTCCTCAGGCCTGCGAGCCGGCGCCCGGAGCGAGCCCGCGCCGCCGCCGCCGCCGCCCGCCGCGAGGGCGGCCCCGAGGGCGGCCCCGGCCTCCGCCGGCATGGCCCCGCGGCCGCGCTCCGCCTAGGGCCGGCGGGAGGCCGCGGGCCCGAGGCGGGGGGCGGCGCCGCGAGCCGCCCGAGCCCCGGCCGCCGCCGCGCCGGGGATGCGCCGGCCCGCGGCCCGCGCCCGCCGCCGCCGCCGCCGCCGCGCCTGAGCCCGGCCGGCCCCGCGCCGCCGCCGCCGCGCCGCGCGCCATGTCCAAGATGCCGGCCAAGAAGAAGAGCTGCTTCCAGATCACCAGCGTGACCACGGCGGCGGCGGCGCCCGGCGCGGCCGAGGACACGGAGAGCCTGGACGACCCCGACGAGTCGCGCACCGAGGACGTGTCCTCCGAGATCCTGGACGCGTCCCGCGCCTCCGACGACGGCCCCGAGGCGGCGTGCGCGCGCAGCTCGTCGGAGGAGACGCTCAGCCAGGCGGGCGAGGCGGAGACGCCGGCCCCGGCCCCGGCCCCGGCCCCGGCCCCGGCCCCCCCGGCCCCGGCCCCGGCCCCGGCCCCGGCCCCGGCCCCGGCCCCCCCGGCCCCGGGCCCCGCCGCCGCCTTCGCCGCCGCCTGCGGCTCGCGCTTCCGCGTGATCAAGCTGGACCACGGCAGCGGGGAGCCGTTCCGCCGCGGCCGCTGGACGTGCGTGGAGTTCTACGAGCGCGAGGCGGAGGGCGGCGCGCCCGCCCGGCCCGCCGACGGCCTCCGCCCCGCCGGCGCCGCCGAGCCGCCCGCCGAGCGCGACAGCGGCCTGGGCGCCACCGCGGGCTCGGGGCCCGGCGCGGACGGCGGCGCGGCGGAGCCCGCGGAGCCCGGGGCGGCGGCCGGCGCCCGCGGCGCGCCCTGCAGCCTGCCGCCCGCCGACGCCGCCCGCTTCCACACGCGGCCCCCGGCGGGGCCGGCGGACGACGCGCGGCGGAAGTCGGAACCCCTACCTCAGCCCCCGCCCGCGCCGCCGGCCGAGGGCGCGGCCGACGCCCCGCCGCGGGCCCCGCCGCGCACGCCCGGGAGCAGCCTGGCCGGCCCGGAGCTCGGCCTGGCCGGGCCGGCGGACGGCGACGAGGACAGGTAGGCGCGCCGCGGGGCCGGGAGCGGGAGGGGAGCGGGGCGGCGGGGAGCGGGACGGGAGCGGGCGGCGGGGAGCGGGGCCGGGAGCGGGACGGGAGCGGGGCGGCGGGGAGCGGGACGGGAGCGGGCGGCGGGGAGCGGGGCCGGGAGCGGGAGGGGAGCGGGGCGGCGGGGAGCGGGGCCGGGAGCGGGCGGCGGGGAGCGGGGCGGCGGGGAGCGGGGCGGCGGGGAGCGGGCGGCGGGGAGCGGGGCGGCGGGGAGCGGGGCGGCGGGGAGGGGGGCGGCGGGGAGCGGGGCGGCGGGGAGCGGGGCCGGGAGCGGGGCGGCGGGGAGCGGGGCGGCGGGGAGCGGGGCCGGGAGCGGGGCGGCGGGGAGCGGGGCGGGAGCGGGCCGGCGGGGAGCGGGGCCGGGCCGGGAGCGGGGCCGGGAGGGGAGCGGGGCGGCGGGGAGCGGGGCCGGGCGGGGAGCGGGGCGGCGGGGAGCGGGGCGGCGGGGAGCGGGGCGGGAGCGGGGCGGCGGGGAGCGGGGCGGCGGGGAGCGGGGCGGCGGGGAGCGGGGCCGGGCGGGGAGCGGGGCGGCGGGGAGCGGGGCGGCGGGGAGCGGGGCGGCGGGGAGCGGGGCGGGAGCGGGGCGGCGGGGAGCGGGGCCGGGCGGGGAGCGGGGCCGGGAGCGGGGCGGCGGGAGCGGGGCCGGGCGGGGAGCGGGGCCGGGAGCGGGGCGGCGGGGAGCGGGGCGGCGGGGAGCGGGGCGGCGGGGAGCGGGGCCGGGCGGGGAGCGGGGCGGCGGGGAGCGGGGCCGGGCGGGGAGCGGGGCCGGGAGGGGAGCGGGGCCGGGAGCGGGGCCGGGAGGGGAGCGGGGCGGCGGGGAGCGGGGCCGGGCGGGGAGCGGGGCGGGAGCGGGGCGGCGGGGAGCGGGGCCGGGCGGGGAGCGGGGCGGCCGGGAGCGGGGCCGGGCGGGGAGCGGGGCGGGAGCGGGGCGGCGGGGAGCGGGGCGGCGGGGAGCGGGGCGGCGGGGAGCGGGGCGGCCGGGAGCGGGGCCGGGAGCGGGGCGGCGGGAGCGGGGCCGGGCCGGGAGCGGGGCGGCGGGGAGCGGGGCCGGGCGGGGAGCGGGGCCGCGGGGAGCGGGGCGGCGGGGAGCGGGGCGGCGGGGAGCGGGGCGGCGGGGAGCGGGGCGGCGGGGAGCGGGGCCGGGCGGGGAGCGGGGCCGGGCGGGGAGCGGGGCCGGGAGCGGGGCCGGGAGGGGAGCGGGGCGGCGGGGAGCGGGGCCGGGAGCGGGGCCGGGCGGGGAGCGGGGCCGCGGGGAGCGGGGCGGCGGGGAGCGGGGCGGCGGGGAGCGGGGCGGCGGGGAGCGGGGCGGCGGGGAGCGGGGCCGGGCGGGGAGCGGGGCCGGGCGGGGAGCGGGGCCGGGAGCGGGGCCGGGCGGGGAGCGGGGCCGGGCGGGGAGCGGGGCCGGGAGCGGGGCCGGGCGGGGAGCGGGGCCGGGCGGGGAGCGGGGCCGGGAGCGGGGCCGGGAGGGGAGCGGGGCGGCGGGGAGCGGGGCCGGGCGGGGAGCGGGGCGGCGGGGTGCGGGGACGGGAGGGGAGCGGGGCGGCGGGGAGCGGGGCGGCGGGAGCGGGGCCGGGCGGGGAGCGGGGCCGGGCGGGGAGCGGGGCCGGGAGCGGGGCGGCGGGGAGCGGGGCGGCGGGGAGCGGGGCGGCGGGGAGCGGGGCGGCGGGGAGCGGGGCGGCGGGGAGCGGGGCCGGGCGGGGAGTGGGGCCGGGAGGGGAGCGGGGCCGGGAGCGGGGCCGGGAGGGGAGCGGGGCGGCGGGGAGCGGGGCGGCGGGGAGCGGGGCCGGGAGGGGAGCGGGGCGGCGGGGAGCGGGGCCGGGCGGGGAGCGGGGCCGGGAGGGGAGCGGGGCGGCGGGGAGCGGGGCCGGGAGGGGAGCGGGGCCGGGAGGGGAGCGGGGCGGCGGGGAGCGGGGCCGGGAGGGGAGCGGGGCCGGGAGGGGAGCGGGGCGGCGGGGAGCGGGCCGGGAGGGGAGCGGGGCGGCGGGGAGCGGGCCGGGAGGGGAGCGGGGCCGGGAGGGGAGCGGGGCGGCGGGGAGCGGGCCGGGAGGGGAGCGGGGCGGCGGGGAGCGGGCCGGGAGGGGAGCGGGGCCGGGAGGGGAGCGGGGCCGGGAGGGGAGCGGGGCCGGGAGGGGAGCGGGGCCGGGAGGGGAGCGGGGCCGGGAGCGGGGCCGGGCGGGGAGCCGAGGGCCCGGGAGGCGGCGTTCGCCCGCCCCGCGTCCGCCGGGCCCGCGGGCGAGGACCGGGCAGACCCGCCCGCCCCTCGGAGCCACGGCCAGGCCGGACACTGGCGCCCGCGGGCCGCGCTGTGCAGCCGGGCCGCCCCTCCCAGGGCCTGCGGAGCCCACCCCGCGCCGCCCCCCGCATGCCCCGCACGCCGCCCCGCGCGCGCCAGCCGACGGCGCCCCCGCAGCTCCCACAGCCGGGCGCAGAGCGCACAGCCCTGGCCGGTGAGGACGCGGCTCGGACGCGGCCTCAGTTTCTCTTAGAGTAGTCTCACGCGGAGGGCTGAGCTGCGGATGGCACCGCACTGCCCCCGCCCGTCAGCGGCACAGCCCCGCGCCCGGGGCCTTCTCCCCTCACCCTCCACCTAGTTCTTGTCACGGCTTCTACGTTAGGCTCCAAGATGTAATCTTACACATTTTGACGTTTTTAATCGTTGGACCAACACACCTGGTGAAGGAATACTCCGTTGAGTGGAAATGGTGTTTGTTGCTTTTTAAATGGAAAGCATTTGTGTAAAGGGAAGGCACCCTAAGGTTCCACTCTGAGCTCGTTAAGTGTTCCAGGCTTATGTGCAACTTAACAACGTGGCTACTCTGGGAAAAATAGTACGAACTAGAAATCTTAATTTTAATGTGACCTAGGGTTTCTTTCTTTACACGCATCCAGATCCTAAAACAGTTTGGAGAGGTTTTGAGTACTTAGGACTTAAATTTTGTAAACAGGTTGTCAGATTCAGTTGCTACAGAAATACAGACGTGCTGATGGTTTCAATTACCATTGCCTTCTGACTCTTGGATGTTACTTTTCACTAGAGAAGTCTATGGTTAGTAACTGATTTTTTTTGTAAACAGATGGATATTCATTACAAATAGTGAATATTTTGTTCATTATTTGAACAAAATTTGCTCAAACTACCTTCACATCGAACAGCTATTACTGTATGCAAATTGGAGGAGGTAGAAAATGTTTCTGGCCCTAAAAGGAGTACAGTTCTGATTGCTTTCTATAGATAACTGACCAATGTGACCTGTAGGCACATTCCAGGAACTCCTCCTATGAATGGCTGCAATTGTCAACTGTCAACTGCTGCCCAACTGACTGTTGAAAATCTTACTGAAAGGGTCCCTCAGTTGCCTAGAACTGTACATCTTGTAAAGGGCTGTATTAGTGTAGTTTCCTAATGATTACTGGTGATTCTAAGTGGTGTGCCTGGTGTGTACTGCAAATATAAATTCATGTCTGTAAATTACACTTTACAAATTATGCAGGTATAAATCACGCATGATGTGTGCACTATGCATACATTTCACACACATGGAGTTCTGTTTTTTACTTGACATTTAAATTAAATGTAAAGACACGTCAGGAAGCAGAGCTGTCACTACTACTGTAATAGGTGCTTTTTTAGAGCTATGTTACAGGAAAGTCTTAACTGCATGCAGTACATATGCATTTATTTTTCCCTAAACGACAGTTCTTACTTGAAGTGTCCTCTTAGAAGCTTACATTTAATCATGGAAGCAATTTTGCGCTTCCAGTGTTATAGTTAATATGTAACTCACACACGAGAATACCATCTTATGCTTATAAACTTTGAATGTTTCTACTAAGAAGTTGATAATCACAGTACAGCACATGCATGTGTAACATTTTGTATAAAAATTGATAACATAGTACATTCATCATTGGTGCTTAATTACTGAAATATACTTTGGTTATAAACATTGGCTCTAAGTAAAAGAAATTATATATAGATGTAGATATATCCAGAGAGATTTCCCAAAGCTCCTGACATCAGTAAGAGCTTGGCCTTCTATCTTCAAAAGCACACATACTGTTGAAATTTTTGTGGATTAGTGAGTGTAGACTCTAAGAATTTTTCAAAAAGGGATCTATATATGTGGATAATACATATTCCAAGTAATTTATTTACTTATTTTGGTACTAGGGATTGAACCCACAGTTGTTAGGCAAGCAACTCTACCATCTGAGCTATGTCTCCAGGATCCAAGTAATTAGTAACACTTGATGTTTTTCCTTTAGGGGGAAAGAACATAAATTCACAAATCTTGAGCTAAGTCATCTTTATGAGAAGTCACTTTATAATAAGACTAGGAGTGGGGGTATATATGTAGTCTAAACCCTGAGAATAAATGTTAACACCAGTCTGTTTATTCTCCAAGAATTTAGATGGCCCTGATTTGGAACTGGTATGGTATGATACTGGATTTATTGGTACCTACCATGTCACAAAAGAAAAATCAATCTATGAAGCAGAGTAAATTGGACTCTTCCCTCCCAGCCACCCAGGGCTAATTCTGCCCTCATAATTAGCACATTATTTCTGAAGTTAACTCTTAAACTGGATCTGAAAAGGATCACTGGTGCCATAGTTTCCAAGCTGAGAGGAAAGCAGCTTGAGTAAGAGTGTGTTATGTTTGAACAGTGATTGAATTGGCAGGAAATAGTGAAGGATTTAGATATGTAGATTTTCTTCATAAGTGTGTGGATGCATTATGGGTGTTGATTGAAGCTTTTGTTTTAAGGTGTTAGCTATCTAACAGTCATATCAGTGCTCTCTTTAGTGACTATTGTGTTTTAAATTACAATCTTGTGATACAGTTGTTTTTAGGGGAAGCTTGAGTCTCCAAAATTCTCATTCCACGGAATGCACTAGTTTGGTACACTGAGATGGAAATTCAAGCACGCAGCACAACTTGAAGCTATGAC